TGCACCTGTGAAATCTGGACAGATGACTCAAAAAACATACCAAAAACATAACACAGATGTGTTTTTGACGCATTTTCTATTAATTTCAATGGGAACCTGCTTTTTGGTGTGGTTTTGAAAACCACACCAAATATGCTGCAAGCAAGACTTTTGAAAATGTGCCGCACCTGCAGCGCAGTGGTGTGAAGAGTCCCATATGATTCAAAGATTGAATTTTTGCGGCATTTTTTAGGCAGTAAAAATGCAGCAAATACGCATCAGTGTGAAAGCAAACTAAGACATTGTAGCTTATAACAGTTCTTTCCAAGAGCTTAGACTAATGTTTACATTTTAATAGCGTTCTTCCTTAGGCCCCATGCACACCTGAGCATTTATGAAATGCACGAAAAAAGCGTGTTGCACTTGCGGTGCCATTCATTGTTAGTGGCACCATAAATGCGACAAACAGAGGAGAATTTTTCCACGCAGAAAAACACTTGACAAATGCGTCAAGATGCACAAAGCTCAACGGGCAAAAAAGCTACACAAGCTACTTTGTGCGTCAGTCATATGTATGGCAGCTCAGTGAAATGGGCTGTGGTTGGGGCCTTAAAGGCATTATCTATCTTAACAAAATGTGTAGTCAGCTGGAAATCAGCTGACACACTCAGTCCGATGGATTAGGGCCTAATGAAGACCTAGGTCACATAACAGCTTTGGTCTTCACTCCACCCTTTGGGCTGACATTGATGAGGATTACAAAATGCATAAAGAAGGTGCTCCATTTACATTGCATGGTCTCGCACCAACATTCTCAGATGCCTTCAGGTACATCCTCCCTTATGAAGTGATGGCCAAGTGCACGAATTTGACCAACAGAGCCATCCCCTGGTTTACTGCAAGAGCATGAAAGTTATACCCAGGCCCTCTAGACCAGCCTTTTTTTTTTTTTTTTAACATGGAGGAACCCTTGAAATAACTTTCCAGTCTCCGGAACCCCTGCTAATGATTATTCTATCTAGAGCTCAGGGTACATTGGTGTGATGGTCAGTGGGAAGAATACTCCTTACATTCTAGTCAGTGAGAAAAATACTCTTCTTAGAGATCTCTAAAAAAAAAAAAAGGATAATGGTCAGTGGTTACCTAACCAAGAGCAAAAATTGTGCATTTCTCAAGGAACCCCCAGTAACCTCTGGAGAAACCCCCGGTTGAGAAAGGCAGCTCTAGAAAATGACCAGGCCCCAAACTCCTGCTATGGTTGACTTGTGGATGACCCGATTCTGCACCCACTGGCTTTTTGCGTCTTTTGTAGATTTAAGCTTTGAAAGCAGGTCACTGGAGTGTTTGCTGCATGGTGAAGAAACATTGGTGTAGAAATATCTCTACTGGAGTGACAATGGGACATGAGAAGCCATTGGGTGATACAACCATGAAGTATCTACCAACAAGCGAAACAGCAATGCTGAGTGGGCCAACATATAGTGGTTCTCTTACCGTAGCTTAGCCTGAGCCTCTTTCACAATCTGAGCGAGCTTTTGCTTCTCGATCCTTTGTTCACAGAGCAATGTGTGCGCTTTACTCCACCTGACACAGAGAATAGAAGCTGGTCACAAAACACAAAGCCTCTGCAATACCAAGCTCCTCATCAGTAGTTATTTAGTGAAAGAATAGGGTTTATTTCATCAAGTTTTCAAATAAGAGCTCTGTTGCTCAAAGGGTACAGATTTTCTACTTTAGAAAAGACAAGGATTGACTGGCTGCTATAGGCTTTGGAGCTAATTTTGATCATCAATAAACCCTTGTATTACCCAAGGCTACAATCAGGACCTCAATTTACGTCTTTTACATGTTCATTACAAGGAGAAACAACATCAAGTCTCCTTTCCACCTTTCTCCTTCTTTCCAAAGTTCATAGACTTAACCAAGAGCTAAGAACGACCCAAGGTTTTCATTTGTTGACTTAAGTATTCCTAGATCTCCAACTATAAGAAGAGGGAATCTCAACACTAACTACAGAGACTCTAGAAATGTTGTTTCCATTAGAAAGATAAGTTACACCCACTACCAGCAGCAACAGAGAAGAAAGGCAAAAAGACCTAAACTCCTAAAACTGTGTCATCCATGACAAACCAGATTCCCTTAGGAAATGTTGCACGTTCAAGGTAAAGTCCTTCAGAGAACTTCAAGGTCAAGATCATCCCATCATGTGATATTTTTAGACGTATGTGTGTGTGTGTATATATATATATACTATATATATATATATATATATATATATATATATATATACACATATATATATATTATACACACATACACACACACACACACACACACACACACACACATTTACACACACACACACACACACTATTGCCAAAAGTATTGGGCCGGCCGGCCGGCCTTTACACATACATGAACTTTAATGCCATCCCAGTTTTAGTCCATAGGGTTCAATATTGAGCATACACATTACAATCTGACTGTACAAGCTTTGTATCTACCAAAACGATGTAATATATGGAGCTACTTAATTTGTCCAACCAATCTGTATACCATTTGTACTACACAGTTGTTGGGAGATCCAAAGAAGATTAAACAATTAGATTGGACTATGTATGGTGAAATTTTGCCTGGAGTTTAGTTTGAATGAATGCCCTCTGCATGTTCTCACCATTCCACCATCAGCGGGTACTTCTCCTCAATGGTCCGATGAGGGTCAATTTCAAGGGGGTAGTAGATGTTATAAAGATCCTTTAACTGAGAAGAAGACAATACAAGGTTATGTAAGTGAGTGTATACATCAACGAGACACATGTCACATGACTAGAACTGCCCAGTAAAAGGCCGCTATGCCAAGTGTCATACAAACCATTCAAGTGATCAATAGGGGCTTCTTTTTTTTTTTTTAATCCAAATTGTTATTTTTTTTTTTTTAATTGAAAAGAAGTACATGAGCTAATAACACAGCATGGAACAATTTTGCAGATGAGTACAGGTAGTGGTATACATTGCATTTATAGATCAGACACAGTCAAAGTGCACATATAAGAGCCCATTGCTATGGATAACCAATGTCGTAATAATCAACATCTTACAAAAAAGAAGGAAAATAGGAAAAGAAAATAAAAGCCAAAAGAAGAATTTTCTTTTTTTATAAGAAAACAAGAAAAAAAAAAAAAAAAGAGGGGGGGGGGGAAACAACATAAAAATAGGAAGGAAAAAGACAACAACTGCAGGGTGAGTACCTAGGCCTCATCTTAGCAATAAATTAGCCATTATGTCTCATATTTGCAAAAGTCTATTCATCATCAACCTTGAAGGGGCCAGTCCAGGCGTATCTAACCAGCTCTGCTGATTAAGCTCTAATTTACGCAAGCATTACGGTGACGGTAAGTTGTTCCCGTAAAAGGAGATAATGAACATATTCCACCCAACGTTTCTTAGTAGGTATCGCACTAGACAGCCAATATCTAGCCATTTGTTTTCTCGCCAAGTACAAGAGACGAGTAACCATGATATAGGTACCCGGGGAGTATAACTCCGGATCCAGCGCACCCAATAAACACACTAGTGGATCCGATGGGATGGGAGTCTGGGCGAGGAAAGACACAATACACCGAACTACCTCCCAATATCTTGTTAGTTTCGGGAATCTCCAAATCATGTGGATAAAGTCTCCTCTATGTGCAGTACACTTAGGGCATGATGGTGTATCCCTCTACCCGATCCAAGTAATCTAACAGGCGTCCGGTACCCCCTGTGAGGGGTAAATAGTAAGGGCCTCTTTGAACATTAAGATCAGGTCATTTGTGTGTATACAGTCCTCTAATGGGGCAGCCAACCAGTTTCTATGCACCAAATACAATGGAGATTGAAGGACTTTTAGGTAGGAAAGTGTCTATGCTAAGCAAATACAAGACCAACAGCGGAGGGAGACAGATGTGGAGCCGGCTGGCATGCACATACTCCTCAAGATGGTGGCTGGAACTCACGCTGAAGCGCAACGTCAGCGTAAGCGTGATGACATCAGTGACCAGAATTCAATGCGATGCGTTGAGAGTCCTGTGAACGTTCTTCTCCAGATGAGGAGGAACTGCTGAACCTTAGGCCAGCGCATGCTCCGAAACACATCGCATTGAATTCTGGTCACTGACGTCATCACGCCTACGCCGACGTTGCGCTTCAGCGTGCATTCCAGCTGACATCTTGAGGAGTACGTGCATGCCGGCCGGCTCCACATCTGTCTCGCTCTTGCTACCATGCTTTTTCCAGTGAGACACGGACGTATTAGGCACCTGTGACAGCCGTTCCACACGGTGTTTCCACACTATATACTAACATGCCTGTATTACTCGACTAACATATGAGTGTTCCTACTTTTATGCTGAATTAAAGTGGTCTGCTGCACTTAGAGGCGCTTCTTCTCCTCCTCTCCTTTAAAACACGTCATACTTACCTGCTCTGTGTAATGGTTTTGCACAGAGCAGCTCCAATCCTCCTCTTCTCAGGTCCCACACTGGCTCTCTTGCAAACCCCCTGCTCAGTGCCCCCAAAGTATGCTGCTTGCTATGGGGGCACTGGTATATGCTCACTATTGAACTGGCTCTGTGTGTCTGAGAAACACAGAGTGCAGACCCACCCTGCCCCCAGTTCTCTCCTGACTGGCTATGATTGACAGCAGTGGCTCCCGCTACTGCATCTCAGCCAATGAGGAGAGTGAGACCCAGGCGAGCCAAGGCTCCCATGCACAGCGCTGGATCAGGATCGGGCTCAGGTAAGTATTAGGAGGGGCTGAATTAAAGTGGACTGCTGCACCTAGAGGTGCTTCTTCTCTCCTTTACTACACAGAGTCTGCATGAAGCTTGCCCTTAGTGCAATACGGACCCCCCCCAATCCAAGTCACCCAGACTATTTCCACTATTAGACTTTTGGGACTTGGTTCCAGAATTTGCACGGATTATCATTTCTATTTCTTAAGTATGACATTTTTTTTTTTTTTTTTAATTCGAGCCTTTAATATCAATTTGATTAAGTGAATAAAATAATGAAAAAAACTGATCCATTACTACAAGCACACAATTTTTTTTCATCCCCCTTTAGCTGAAATCGAGTCAGATATAAAGACACAGGAATGCAACTAAGTACTCCTTAATCTGTTTCTACCAGCTTAACACATATATATCCAGCAGACAAGAAGGTGGGCCGTAATGCCAGGCTGCCACATCTATGCGTCTATGGGGCTTGCTCACTGCACCCTCAAGCAATCACTGACAGCTTCTGGTCACCTTTTAGGATTAGGGATGAGGTCAGGCCTGTTTGGATCCTAGTTGAAACCCACCTGATCAAGCCTGCCAGGAAGCGGTCACATTCTCCGCTCCACACATATACATTCTCCTTTATGAGGCTTTGGGATGGGGAATGCACCGGCCACAGCTGACTGGCCCAGTACAGTGACTGCTTCCTGGTAGGCACACTCAAGTAGGTTAGTACTAGGATCTGAACACACCCGAGCTCATCCCTATTTAAGATCAGAAGCTAGTAGGACAGTCTCCAAATCATGTGAGTGCTGTGAAAGCCAATCATTGCAGTCACATGACTGGAGACTCCACCTCCCAGCGTTAAGACGCACATAAAAAGCCGGCTGATCCATTCATAATATTGCTCTACTCTCATAGAGGCAACTCTAATATCGGACTTTAAATATCAATCCTATATGGTCATGATCGCAGAGAAGTCCATACAAAACGTTCTAAGTCCAATACGCTTTGAGCAGATCTTCATCAGGAGCAAAGCTGTGCTGATCTAGAACATGAAAGAGCTAACTATTCATCAGCCATGTACAAGTAAAACATCACGTCTGCTCTCAGCTGGACTGGTGCGGTTGGTCAGAATTCTGAGGATTGCCCGCCATCAGTATACTGGTGTGTATGGGAACTGTCCTTGCATGTGTTTCCTCCTCCGCATGCTTGTCCAGATATTCTCCAGCTAGAATGTTTTAACCTGTACATGGTGTTGCTTTTCCCCTGATAAAGATCTTTCCGAAACGCGTTGGACTTAGAACTTCTTGTACGGACATGGCCACATACGACTGATATTTAAAGTGTTACTAAAATCAGGACCCTGCATTCATTAACCATCAGCCGCCCGGCCAATGGCTCTGCAAGCGCGAAAACTGCGCATGTGCGGGAGCACGCCAAATGGCGTGCACCCGGAAAGCTACAACGCTTTTGCGGCCCACCAAACAGCCATTGGCCGGGCGGCTGATGGTTAATGAATGCAGGGTCCTGATTTTAGTAACAAGGCCGATGACAGATCTAAGTACCGGCCCCGTTCCTGGTACCATGTGACCTGCTGTGACCAATCACAGCAGGTCACATGACAGTTGTATACAATGGATGGCTTCATTCATGCCATCCATTGTATACAAGTGTCTAGCTGTGCATGGTCACAGCTAATCACATGCACATGTCATGTGATTAGCTGTGACCAAATCACAGCTAAGCACAAAAAGAAAAAAAAAAACAAAAAACTGAATGAATCAATTTCATTCAGGTAAATGCTTGCTTATAGCAAAGTAATTCTTTGCTATAAGCAAATTGTGTAAAAAAAAAAAAAAATACTGATCACTTCCCCAAAGTAGTACAATGTTACTATGGTAACATTGTACTACTTTGGTCATAGTAAAATAAGAAAAAAAAAATCTTAAAATTTTTTTTTAAAAAAATGTAATAAAAAATTTAAAATAATAAAAAAAAATTTTTTTTTCATACTGTCACCAGTCAGTGTCCCTGTTCACTGCCATGCCAGTTATATGATGACGCTGTACTGCACTGGTGACAGTATGTAAAAAAAAAAATAGTGAAAATAATTTTTTTAATTTTTTAATTTTCCAAAAAATTATGACAAAAAAAATACAACTTCAAAAAACTTTCCATTCCTCTTATGAAGTACGTCGGACTGTCTACTCTGCAAAAAGGGGTCATTTGGGGGATATCTGTACTGTTCTGACATTCTTGGACCTCAAGAAATTAGATTGGCTGTCAGTACTTCAGGACTGATCAATATTCAGATCTATACCATAGTTTGTGAACTCTATAACTTTCCTACAAACTAAAAAAATACATCCTAATTTGGGTTATTTTCAAAGACATGTAGCAGAATACATCTCGGCCTAAATTTATGAACAATTATTTATTTGTAAACTTTTATAACAGAAAGAAAAACGTGTTTTTATTTAAAAATCTTTGGTTTTTTTTTGTTAATTTAGCAAAAAATATAAAAAAACCCCAGTGGTGATTAAATACCACCAAAAGAAAGCTCTAGTTGTGTGAAGAAAATGACAAAATTTTAGTTTGGGTACAATGTTGTATGACCGCGCAATTGTCATTCAAAGTGTGAGAGCGCTGAAACGTGAAAAATGGCCTGGGCAGGAAGGGGGTAAAAGTGCCCGGTATTGAAATGGTTAAATCTGGAGGGAAAGCAGATGGGATCAGGTGAGCTGCATACAAATGTACCGACTAGGAACATGCAGAGCAAGCAGAGTTCACATCACCAGTATGCTGCTGCTCTTTCACTGTCCAATCAGCAGGCTGGGTTTGGAGAGAGGACACCACTGTATCCCTTCTATGGTAACTGAACGTGGGGTCACCTGCCTGGCTGTGCATTCTGCTTTGTAAACCTCGGGACTGAATAGACAGAAATACAGATCCTTTGCTAGGTAAAAAGCTCCCTTACATGCATTTTATCTGTGTACTAAGCTGTGTCCTGGAGTTCAGCATTAAAGACTATCCCAAGACTCACCTTCTTCCTACAGTCCTCGCTAATGATCTTGCTGTTGTCAATGATATCTGTGTAGGAGAGATGGGATGACATGGCCAGCAGCATTATTACCCAGAGAATGTTACAGGAGACCAGTAGGGGGCGACAGCTGTGTACTCACTATAGCAGGTGGGACACCTTTCTCCATTGTACCCGAAGCGGCTGAGTGTCATGTCAAAATCAGAAATGACCTGGAGAAAAGCAGAAATTGAATACAGGGGAAGAATAGGAGGGCAGCCGGTTCTAACTCAAACCAGTGACATAACACTGCTCATACAGCAATAATGCACATCAACCAACTGAAGTTCATTATTGGAGCACCAAATTCTATAAATATTTGCAGTAATCACCCATTCACTCTTAATTCATTGCGCTACAAAGAAACTGGAATCCATACAAAAAAAAAAAAAAATCTCTTATGATCCTATTTGTATATGGTACCATTGCACTGTAAGGCTTTTTTGTGGTTAAGTCTGGTGCCCTCTGAAGAGCGATCTGCGTTCCGATTATTTTTCTGAGGGGGTTTTGACAGGTGGTGAGGAGGATGTAGCCTATAATGCTCCACTGAACTTAGTGGGAGAGTTTGCCAAGTGGTGCCGCTTGTCAACATCTGCACCCCGAGTTAAAGTGTTAGTTCACCTTTACGGATAAAATATAAAGGTGAACATAGTATACTCTCCCTAATCCCTGGTCCCCAATGTACTTACCTTCGGTGATCCTGAGCTGTCAGGGCTCCCACGACCAGTCCGGGAATTTGAAATCCCCGCTCTTTTCCCTCTTCTCTGTGCAGTGCATCTGGGACAGGCCAGATCGATTCTGCTGGTTGGCTCGGTCGCAGTGAATTGATCTGGTCTATCCCGGAAGCACTGCACAGAGAAGATATGACACTCATATGGATTTGTATTATTGTGTTCTGATCATCAAGGGAAAATGTTCATGTAGTAATTAGTCCCATCTTCCTATGTGCAGGAAAAGGCGTCCCCCACCCACACAGCCGACCGATAACGCAGCTAGCAAGGAGATGGCTACTTTGACAGATGGCACTTCTCCAAGTCTCCAGGCACTCCCCTTGAGGCTTTTTTTTTCTAACAAGCCTCCCCCTGCACTTCTTATGAAGAGATTGTCATGGGGAAGTGCTTGGAGAAAAGTGCTATCTGTCAAGGCAACCATCTCATAGCTAGCTGCGTTTTCGGACGTCTGTGGAGACAGAAGGGTTAGTCTTAGACAGCATAGAGAGAGACAGGAAAAAGAATAACAAATATTAATAAAATTTCTTCTTTAAGCACTTCTTGACCACGCTATAGCCGAATGATGGCTACAGTGCGGTCATCCAGTTCTGGGAGGGTGTCTTATGACGTCCTCCCAGAATGTGACCCCTCCCGTGCATCCCTAACGGCGTGAGCATGGCGCTCTCTGTGATTGCTGTGTCCATTGGACACAGCTGATCACATGACATGGTAAGGAGTCAATCACAGCGGCCTTTTATCATGTGATCAGCTGTGTCCAATCACAAATGACCACCATGTAAATACACTTGCTGGTTATCGGCAGTAGTACTTTCCTCACGCTGTCACAGTGTGAGGAAAGTATTGCCAATAACCGGCAACTGTGAAACAATTACACCAATAATCAGTGTCCTAATTATCAGTGCAGCCTCAAAAGTGCCCATCAGAGCTGCCAATCTGTGCCCAGCAGTGCCGCCAGTCAGTGCTGCCTATTGGTGCCCATCAGTGCCGTATATAAGTGAAGCCTCATCAGTGCCTCCTCATTAATGCCCACCAGTACCGCCTCATCAATGCCTATCAGTGCAGCCTCATCAATGAAGACTCATCAACGCACATCAGTGAAGGAGAAAAATTACCTGTTTGCAAAATTTTATAATAGAAACAAAGAAAAACGTTTTATTTTTCTTCAAAAGTTTCGGTCTTTTTTCGTTTCACAAAAAATAAAGCACCCAGTGGTGATTAAATACCACCAAAAGAAAGCTCTATTTGTGTGAAAAAAGATAAAAATTTCATATGTGTACAGTGTTGCATGACCGCGCAATTGTCATTCAAAGTGTGACAGCGCTGAAAGCTGAAAATTGGCCTGGGCAGGAAGGGGGTGAAGGTGCCCGGTAGGCAAGTGGTTATAGTGTAAGTCACTCAGACTGACCTGTAATTTCGTCTCCCCTCCATTCTGTAATGACATGATCAGTTCTTCGACCCTCTGTGGGTCTTTCATACGAACCGTGTCTTTATTCAGCTCTGGGATCTGAAAAATATTGATCATCGGAGAGGTAATTAACACAATGGAAAATGAATAAGTGCTCAATTCTCTGACTACTGAGACACCTGTAGGCCACTGTGATGGTGGCGGCATGCCTGAGCTCCAAAAATCAGAGTAAAGCCTGAATGAGACTGGTTTTGGGGGATCCTAACTCCTATGGAAGACTCTGTTACTACACAGAGAGGTCTGAGGAGCCAAAGGATGGACATGTTGGGGTACATGTAAAGCTCAGCTCCTCACTAGTGACAGTTGGAGGTGGAGTCAGATGGTCAAACTCCCATTTGTGACCCTTCCAGTGGGGGGCCGTTACTGAGGGACATATCATTGTTGGACAACTGCCATCCCTGCCAATACCTTCACCTATGGAAAGGAGATCAAAGATCATGGCAACTACAGAGCAGTTCATACCGCTGTGCCATTGTATGTCAGTCGGTCGGGAAAAAAATAAAAAAATAAAAATGGCACACTATGGTTTCTGGGCCCTACTATGGTATATACACAACACTGACATTGAGATCTTCAGGAGCAGGGGAATTTATTTTGCATGAAATTTACAAGCAATATACAGCTACGCTCTTTTTTTTACAATTTTGGCCTGGTTTACCTTTGATCGTAGAAAAAAAAAAAGAACGAAAAAACAAAAACAAAACAAAAAAAGAAACAAACAAAACAAAAAAACCCCACAGGAAACATCTATTACCAATGGCCGCCAAATAAAAAGGCCAATTTGTCCTGAAAAAAAAAAAAGGGTATCATCCACCTTTATACACAGAGAGCTTGTGATGTTATATACAGTTCTAGCAACACATGTCAAAGGTGTAAAGCTGGGTTCAGATTTGTATGACCTCTGTCATGAAAGGGTTAAAAAAAAAAGAAAGAAGGAAAAACCCGCCCATAGCCGAGTTCAGATTTGTACGACCTCTGTCATGAAAGGGTAAAAAAAAAAAAGAAGAAAAGAAGGAAAAACTTGCCCATAGCAGAGTTCAGATTTGTATGACCTCTGTCATGAAAGGGTTAAAAAAAAAGAAAAAAAAAGAAAAGGGAAACCCAGCCCACAGATCATTATGAAGAGAGCAGAATTATGAATCCTCCCCATGGCTCCCCCTGGAGTCTGGGGACCCTCAGTCACCTGTCATGATTATAATCCACCCTCAGCTAAACTTCGTGGAGACATCAGAAGTCACCAATACAGAATCATTAGAAATGTCCAAAGTGTCAGCGCACTCCAATCCGTGGCAAGAGCCAAAGTTTCCATTCGGATTCCCAGTGGCTGTGAAACTTCCCATATATATGTCACGGTCAAAAACATCATACATGTCCAATGTGTTGTCTGAATATAGCAATCTCTCTGTATATAGTAGATCTCTCTGTCTGTATATAGTAGATCTCTCTGTCTGTATATAGTAGATCTCTGTCTGTATATAGTATACTGCTTTGTATGTAGATGTGTCGCTCTGCATATACTATATCTGTTTCTCTCTCTATAAAGAAGATCTCTCTGTATATAGTAGATCTATATGTGTATATAATAGAGTTCTCTGTATATCTGTTTGTCTGTATACAGTAGATCTGTGTGTATAGTAGATTTCTCTCTCTGTATACAGTAGATCTGTGTATATAGTAGATTTCCCAGTCTGTATACAGTAGATCTGTGTTTATTATTATACAGGATTTATACAGCGCCAATTTGCTCAGCGCTTTACAGTAAATAGTAGATTTCTCTCTCTGTATACAGTAGATCTGTGTGTATATAGTAGATTTCTGTCTCTGTATACAGTAGATCTGTATATAGTAGATTGCTCTGTCTGTATACAATAGACCTGTGTATATAGTAGATTTCTGTCTGTGTACAGTAGGTCTGTTTATATAGATTTCTCTGTCTCTATACAATAGATCTGTATATAGTAGATTTCTCTGTCTGTATATAGTAGATTTCTGTCTGTATATAGTAGATTTCTCTGCATATAGTAGATTTCTGTCTGTATATAGTAGAGATTTCTGTCTGTGTCTGTATATAGTAGATTTCTCTGTCTGTATATAGTAGATTTCTCTGTCTGTATATAGTAGATTTTCTCTGATTTCTGCATATAGTAGATTTCTCTGTCTGCATATAGTAGATTTCTCTGTCTGCATATAGTAGATTTCTCTGTCTGCATATAGTAGATTTCTCTGTCTGCATATAGTAGATTTCTCTAGAATTTCTCTGTCTGTATATAGTAGATTTCTCTGTCTGCATATAGTAGATTTCTCAGTCTGTATATAGTAGATTTCTCTGTCTAGCTGTCTGTATATAGTAGATTTCTCTGTCTGTA